AAATATCATAGAGAAACCTGCATTTGGGCCATAGGCCTCATGTTTTGATTCTCAGAGTCCACAAGGGCACAGGGTCTCTCCTGAGGCAAAAGTGTACAAAAGACCCAGAGCAGATATAAGGAATTTTTAGAGTATGTGTTATTGCTTCTTCCTTCTAAGAAAAGGAGGTTAAAAATAAAAAAAAAATAAAGATCATTTATTGGCCTTTTAGTGAAGATCAAGTATTTAAAAAAAAAAACAAAAAAAAAAAAACTCCTCTTCCAACAATACATTCAAGTAAAAATCCCAAAAAAAAAAAAAAAAAAATTCCAGTTGATGGTTTTGCGCAATTGCAAGCCTATGTGAAGAGAGAATGTAAAATAGAAGAGAGGCTGCAAAGAAATGTATGCATTTTAAACCTGCACTAAGGATGATGCAATAAGAATTACTGAAAATCAAAACTTAAAGATGAAACACTAAGATGATGTGTTAGAACATGGCTTGTACTGGAAGATGGCTTTTATCACTCTCGAAATGATGAAAAGGAAGACGAAGCCTTGGTATGATAAAAGATGTCATCATTTGTATTATTACACCCAATTTGTATTATTACATCTACTAATAAGAAAAAGAAAAGGAACTTTATGAGAAAGGCAGAAGGCAAGGACATGAAGGAGTTATATTAAGTACAAGATTTGTATTTTTACTACTATTTTTGTTAAAGAGTCAATTACTGCTTAAAATATCCTTTCTTACATAAACACATTCTCATGTAAATATGAAAAAGAACTAAAGCTCCAGTTGTTTATAACAAAGCACGGGAGGGTGAGTGCTCAGTATTTAAAGCTGTAAGACAGACGTCTGTTTGGGCAGTGTACCCTCTGGGAGCATGTTCCAGAAAAAAGCATTTTCTCATGAAGTTAAGCCAGAGGATGTTCTTATTTAAAAAAAGAAAAAGATGATACTCACATGGATATTCAATTCAACGTTTTTCCACTGACAAAATCTAGTGAACTTGTCACTAAAAGAGAATAAAATAATTACTAAAAAGTTAAATCTTAAATTCACTGGATTTACAAAACACTGTATGACAGACTAGAACGGCATTACTTGGATTGCTTCTCAAATAAAGTAAGGTTCTCAAACCTTTTTTCACAGTGCATTTGACAGGATTCATGGCTTTATTTCATGATTCAAATGAAAGATTTCATGTTTCTTCTTTAGTTGTCATATGCTATGGTAACCTTTTTTTTTTTTTTTTTTGAGATGAAGTCTCCGTCTGCTGCCCAGGCTGGAGTGCAGTGGTGTAATCCTAGCTCGCTAAAGCCCTCAATTCCTAGGCTCAAGTGATCCTCCCACCTCAGCCTCCCAAGCGGCTAGCACTACCGGTACACACCATTGCACTTGGCTCTTCTTTTTTATTTTTGTAGATACTGGGTGTTGCTATGTTGCACAGGCTGGTCTTGAGGTCCTGGCCTGGAGAGATGCTGCTGCCTCAGCCTCTCAAAATCCTAGGACTACAGGCACAAGCCACCACACCTGACCAACAGACCTTTCAAAAATAAGGATCTTTAACAAATATTTCTGAGGCTAATAATCAAATTAAAAATCAAAAGCATGGGAGGCTGAGGCAGGAGAATCGCTTGAACCCAGGCGGCAGAGGTTGCAGTGAGCTGCGATCACACCACTGCACTCCAGCCTGGCGACAGAGTGAGACTCCGTCTCAAAAAAAAAAAAAAAATCAAAAGCAGAGGAACGGTTGCAATTACAACAGCATCTTTATTTTCGGTGAAACTAAAATGACGCACAAAGAGTTTTTCACTGAGCCTCCTGACGTATCTAATGAAGTTAGTAAATTAAAATTGTATTTTGAGAGTTCCTAAGAGTTATTTCAACCTATTTTTTAAAAGCATGGTGCAATTAAAAGGCAAAACCACATCTGGGTGCACTCTGCATTTATAAATCTATGACTGGTCTTTGAAATGCACTTGGTTTCTTGGGCTAGCTCACACTCTCTCTTCTTAGAGATTCTGGAGTCTAGAGCTGGTGACGGAGGATGGTAATCGGACATACTTTACAACTAGCTGAGGAGGGTTAACAAACAAGGAAGAGGGAAGTGCCCACGTATTTTGCCCACTAAGAATGGATTTACTGTAACAAGTTCCGCTTTAGGAAGTCCAGATGGCCCTGAGTATCTAGGCTCCCTCCGTCCTGTCTCCATGGGGGTTATCTGAGCGCTATTCCCAATCAATGCCTGGTTACTGAGTGGGGCGCTTTTGACGGGCGGGGAACTGTGGCAAAGGAAAGAGCTGGACAATTAAGGGCTTCAGGCAGCCAGAGCCCTTGCAGATGACTTAAAAGGATCTCAGAGAGAAGATCAGAGGTGAAAGACACAGAAATGCCTGGGAAGCGGTAAGGGTGGGGCAGAATGAGTGTTTTTAACTCTGATTCCTGACTCAGTGTTGTCCCGCTGAGCAACTGAACTTCACTGCCTGAATGAGGCTCATGGCTCTCAACTAGAAGACGGAAAGCCTCCACTGCCCTCTCCAATTCGGCCTCACCTGGAACTCAGCCCCGGAGCCCTGCCTGGACCTCAGTGAAGGTGGGGACAGATTGCACATGGCCCTGTATTGCTGATGGCCCCCTCTTTACTATCAGACTCAGGGCGGCCATGGAAACATTGCCTTTTCCTTGAGGCCCTTCATGTGCCCAGTCCCGATGAGGTCAAAGGCTACATGACCATATGGATAGGGTCCCTGTGCTTTTCTAAATCAAAGCTCCAAACTTATCTCCTGACATGAATTTTGTTTTCTAATTTGATAAAAATTAACAAATCAACTTTAAAAATAATTTATTTAAACGATGCAAACAGCATCATTTGCATTTACTGTGCAAATGAAATGATACTGATTTCATACAGGATATGAAATGACGGGCTCAATGAGCGAAAATCACCATGTCTGTGAGCCTGGTTCCAAGTGAAAGGATGCGGGGCAAAGCTATAAAATATCCACGGGAGAACCTCTTCCCCACTTTTAATTACCATCCCCCTCTCTCCCTTCTCTCCTGAGGATCACACAAAACTTGGGTTTACCCAAGAGTTGGGAAAGGTCAGATTTTATGATCGACAGCCACGGAGATGGCCCAGGACTTGGCTGCCACTCAGCCCTCAGCCAGCAGCCTACCCTCTTCGTTTGATGCCGGCGCTTTTTGGCAAAGTTTCTGCTGCTACTCAGAAGTGTGCAGTCGTTTGTATGAATATTAGTTTCCCAACATATTGACTCTACTCCAGGATAAAATTATCTCTTGGACTCCAGGACAACTGCAACACAACTTTCTTTTTAATTGCTTTAGTTCTGTGAGTACACGGAGAAGGAAAGTATAGTAAAGTAGCGTTTGTTCTTCAAGTGCAATTACGGAGCAGCTGCCGAGAGCTCCAGCATGAGATGTAATCATCATGTATATTGTCTAGAAATTAACCAAGCTGATAAAGTCAAGTCAGCGTCAATGCAGGTTCTGTTTTACAAGGTCCGATTTCAGTGGTGCACTGTCACAGAAACATACTCAAAAAACTGAAGAACTGACCAGTAGGTGCCTGAAAAGCGTATGGGCTGGACATTTTTATACATGCTATTTAAAAAACTACAGAATATTATATGATAAACATGTTCTATAGTCTGAGTAACCAAGGGGCATATTTATTAGATATCTAATGATGTATACGATCATAAACACACATTGACCTATGTCGTTAAATTCTATTACTACATAAGGAATCAAGTTCAGGCCTGTCCTACTTTGGGAGACATGATTCCAAAATCCAAGCAAATGGATCGGATAAACTACAGTCAAGTTTGTATTATTAGCAAAGGTCTCCCAATAAGATACTTTTTTTAAAATTGAGGTTCCTCAGTGTATTTATACTTTAGATCATACTGAAGCTAAGAAATTAAAGATCAAAGGGATGTTAAGATAGACAGACCCTAAAATTATAATGTAAAACACTGAGGAAACAGTTTAATACAAAGCCCGGCACACTGTACATAGTCAATGAATATTTGCTGAATAATTAACACACATTTTAGGGACAGCATTTGTGGCATAAAATGAGGTACGCAGACACAGTAAAAACTTGTATATGTATGCATCAAGTTTCATACCTTTCCATAAATTTTTGAAAAATGTCACCTCGAAGGCTTTCACAAATTTCTTCTATGTATGGCTAGAAGAGATGAAAAAGAAATTCCACACTGAATGAATGAGAATGTATCAAAAAAACACAAACCAATGAGACTCAGGTTAAGTGAAATTCCCAGTTATGCACTCCCCATGGCATTGTGCCTGGTACCTGCCCTTCTCTGTGCTTGTCCAACACTTGCTAATGGATTCCTCAATATTTATCTACACCACTTGACGCTATGAAGACAGAGAGGTCTGCCTTGTTTGCCACTGTATTCCTACTATCTAATATGACTTCTGGCAAGTCACAAACGCATCTTACATGAGCAGAGCTCTCTTCATGGGAGGCGTGACTCAGAAAAGCCTGGTGCTGGGTTTAAAGCTCTATTGTTGCCATTTTGAAATTCTTAATCACTTCTGTACGAGGAAAACTGCATTTTCACGTGGCACTGAGCCCCACAAGTTATGTGGCACATCTGGTAAGCTAGTAAAAGCATCTGCATTGAGTTTTTTAAACTCAAAGCTAACAGATCCATGGAGTTAAATTTTTTTTAATTAGCTGTTTTATTTCTGGACTTTCTATCTCTTAGAGTCATAGAGATAACCACAGGGGAGAGACGATCCGATCCCACACCTCATCTTGCATGTAAAGCTCCTGGACTGCAGGCAGCTGCTCTCCCAAGGTCTCTGAGAAGGTCCATGGCTAAACTGGGGTTACAGGTTCCTGGTTCACATGCACAGCGCTCTTCCCCTCTTGGAAAACAACTACCATCTATTTAACGTCATGCCACTTTACCCATTACTGAATCAACAGCACCAGCTTTCCTTTTCCATGTGATGGACTTTTAAAATCAAGAAATATAAAAATATAAAGTGTCAATATGTCATGGGTCAGCCCAGAGTCAGTTAGTTCGTTTTGGGAAACATTTCCAGAGTCAATTAGTTAGTTTTGGGAAACATTCAGGCGCCCTCAGCTCATTGAATGATCCAAATTTAACCTTTTTAATGTCTTCACAGACCATCCTGAAAGTTTACAAAAAAAAAAAAAAAGAACGACTACATCACGGAACAGTACAAACCAAGCGACGAGAATAGGAAGTCTGCAGAAGCCACAGGAAGCAAACATGGGCTGGGAGGCAGCTGCAGTCCTTCTGGGAGCCTTGCTTCCTGCAAGCAGAAAGGATGCTAGCCTGGCGGGCAACTGGTGCTGGGGCGTGAGCCAGTCCATGCCAACTTGCAGAGCCATCCCTGTCCTGGGGAAGGCACTAGAGCTAGTTACGAAATCCATATGGACTTTGTCCCCTTTGTGGCAAAAGAGGAAGCTAAACTATCTCTCTCTGAAGTTCTTTCCAGCTCTGAAATCCTAGGATTCCAGGAAACACACATCTCTTAGCCAAGTCCTCAACAAGCCTCCAGAGGTTCAAGAGACGAAATAGTTCACATGTTCAAAGATCTAAGAAAAGGCTACATTTACATATCATAGATTTTTCTATTTATAAAAACTATTGTGTCAATTAATATTTTTCTTTCATACTTGATCAAACATCCCTACTATCTGCTAATAAAGTAAAAGACGAGTGTCACTGGGAATTCCTAAGACTACAGAGAATATACCACGCGGCCACTTTTCAACAGAGGGAACCACGACAGGCTTGCTAAGGAGCACGAAGGCCAGAGTGCGAGAGTGGGATCGGGGGCAGACTCCTTCCCCACTCCGATCCTCGGTTTCCTTAATCTGTAAAGGAGACAGTCGTATCTAAGTTGCAAGGCTGTCGTGAGAATTTGACAAGATTAAGCATGCTGAGAGCTGAGCTCAGGACCCAGTGCATCTTAGGCACCCAAGCACAAGCCATGGCCCCTCACAAGCCTGCCACCAAAGGACCTATGTACTTACTTATCTCTAAAGGCAATCTTACAACAAAAAAAATTTAATAAAAAGAATCTGTATTTACTTTAAGAACATTTATGTTTTACTATGAACTCCAACTGACTTTATTGGTTAATGTACCTCTTTGTGAACAGAACATTCAGACACGTAACTTCAATTTATACGTTAGTCATTATGCTCTAAAGGTACATGAGACAGAATTGCACTGATACACTCTTTGTTTTAACAAACTTCAAAATATTTTCTTCACCTCTGAAACAAGAATAATACCCATTCTATATCCATTTAGCCAGAAAATTATTTTCACTAATTTTTTAATGAACAAATCAATAAAGTGTTTTTTTAAAGATATATGAAGAAATCGCTCCTAAATGAAAGTCTTTTGAAAGTATGAAAAGAATCCTAGTGGTCTCTATGTCTCAACTGGAACAATTTTTTTTTCAATGTTATTTATGTTATAGTAGAAACTAAAACCAGATTTGTAAAACTCATGTATTATGAGGTATAGTTTAGCAACGCTAAACGTAATTGAGTATAAGGCTGCCTACGTACCATGACAGAGTCAAATGAAAACTGAAATTCTGACACTCAGATATCCTGAGGACAACAAAAAGCAGATATTCACATGGTTCTTTCTGACTGTAAGACGTGTGATCCTAGGTAACATTTGTGGAGCACAGTGATAGGCGGCCCCGTACAAAGAAACCCATGTGCCCCTTCCTCACTGAATCCTCAAGACCTCCCTTTGAGGGAGAGCGCAGCATCATCTCCACCTTACAGATGAGAAAACTGAAGTTAGGAAGGTGTAGAAGCTTACCCAAGGCCCTCCAGCTATGGCCCTGGGATTCAAACCCTCACGTCAATGAATTTCGGAGCCTATAACCCAAGCTTATAACCCACGACCATCCAGACAGCTATGATGACATTTATGAAAGTCCATCTAATCAATTATTGTCATAGAAAGGTATCACCCAATTTGTTGCTATCTAAATGCGCTGTCAAATCAATATTTGCTCTGCTGAATAATTAAATCCATTTTGCATTTATAAATACTACCATCAGATGCCAAAGTCAGCTTACCTCCCTTTAAATGACCAGGAAAAAGAGGAGGTGATTATTTTCATCTATTAAAAGCACTATATTACTCAGTGACATTCTTTCCTATTTCTTGTAACTCACGGAAACATGAAAAGCACTTTATTCATTTGAGAATCTGACTGTCCTTGTAAACCACTGCCACGTCTATAAAAAACATAGGCTGGAAAAGGCTTTTGGGAGGAAGTGAAACCATTTCATCTAAAGAATGGCAAATATAGACCGATTAGTTGTGAATCTGATTTTCCAAGTCTTGTCATCTAAACCTATATGACTGTAGTGTGTTCAAGATATAAACAGCCAAGGTAACATACAATTTCCCATGACTCAAAGATCACTCAAACATTTGCTCCTGAATCTTGAAAATAAATCGTATTTCCTGTACAGGATAATCACAGCAAGTATCAACAGCCTGGCACTACAAAATAAATCTTGCCGAGTCTTCGCTCATCACAGGTGCTGGAAGATCAAATGGGAAAAAACTTTCTTCTCTGCTGTCTTATCTTGACTGATTTCTAGAACACAATGTTACCACAAAGCTCTAGTGGCCTTTTTTCAGAAAAGGCTTTACGAAGCATGTTGATAGAAGCGCACTTTGCAAGGAGAAGACAAGCAATAGTAAACTCAAATTGTTCCATTAAAGCTCCAGATTAGAACACAGTCTTACAGAGCAAGTCCTCTGGTGTATTCCCACATGCAAAAAGAATGTCACCACGGCCAAGTGTTAAACAAAGTTTATCTGTGTATTTCGGAATGATTTTCCCTTACCTGGAAAAGAGTTGATGTCACTTGCTTCTTGGATAAATGACTTTGCACATGTTCTACAGCTTGCTTTGAGAAAGGCTATCAAAAGTCAAAAATAACATGTTTTAATAAAATGTAACAAACCTGTGTATGTTATATAATATCACAACAGATTAATTGAACACGGCAATTACTAAACAGTAACTATGGTAATTATATTAACATTCCTTAAAAATCTGTTGAGTATTTAGAGGCAATCCCAGCAAATGCTTGTTCCTCTGGGCATCCAATTCTTAGATACATGCCCAGACGAATGACCAGTGCAGGGTTTGACTTTATGCAATTCCAAAAGGGTTCAAGGACACTCTGATAATAAAGTACAAAGAATCCTATTATCAGGCCGAGTGCACTGGCTCATGCCTGCAATCCCAGCACTTTGGGAGGTCGAGGCAGGCAGATCACTTGAGCCCAGAAGTTCGTGATCAGCCTGGGTAAGATAGCGGAACCTCATCTCCATAAAAATAACGAGCCGGGCATGGTGGTGTGCACCTGTAGTCCCAACTACTCTGGAGGCTGAAGTGGGAGGATTGCTTGGGCCCTAAATGCATACATCCATCAACAAACTGATAATGGGGTTCTAAAAATGTAAAATTTCCACTATACAAGAGAAAATACACACACAAAAAAAAAAAAATCTAAGAATTCATGTCAGGATTCCAAAGTCAAGCCATAGCGGTAAAAGGCTGTAAGTTAAGGAAAGTCTTACTGTAACCACAGAGAGGGGAATCAGGGCAAAAACAATGGCGCTTCCACCGATAAAAATTACAATGATGACCGGGCACGATGGCTCATGTCTATAATCCCACCACTTTGGGAAGCTGAGGCGGGTAGATCACCTGAAGTCAAGAGTTCGAGACCAGCTTGACCAACATGGAGAAAGCCCATCTCTACTAAAAATACAAAATTAGCCAGGCATGGTGGTGCACACCTGTAATCCCAGCCACTCAGAGGGAGGCTGAGGCAAGAGAATCGCTTGAACCTGGGAGGCAGAGGTTGTGGTGAGCCGAGATGGCACCATTGCACTCCAGCCTGGGCAACAAGAGCGAAACTCCGTCTCAAAAAAATAAAAGAATTACTATGATATCCTCCCCCCTCAGAACTTCAAATTGTGTCTTCTTTAATAATGTACAATAAGAAGAAAGGCTTAAAAATACCATCATATGGATAAACACTCTCTAAATTGCTGAACTACATAAAAACGAAATTTACGGAGGCTTTCCCACTGAACATCTGGCATTCTCCAAGGGTTCAGTCCTTCCCTAGTGAGGCAGCAAGGCATGGAGTAGCAATAATTAGTCCTAGCCCAGAAATTCCTTCACCAAGCCAGGTGGGTCCAAGGAACAGAGAGCAGTGCATGCCACAGTTACACAAATGTCAGCAAGAACTGTAAATAAACAGTGAATACAGAAGCACGAAAATATACCATCACCATGACCAGTGCTATCCAGCAGGACTTTCTGCGACAATGGGAGTGTTTGCTGTGCATCTGTGCCATCCAATACAAAAGCCACTAGCCCCATGTAACCACTGAGCACTGGAAATGTGGCTCATGAAGAACTGAGGTATTAAACTTTTACTCTCATGTGATTTTAGTGAATTTAAAGTGAAATGTAAATTGCCACATGCAGCTAGTGGCTACTGCGTTGGATAGAGCAGGCCAGGACCGTCAGGCCGCCCTTTGGAAAACATTCCTAAGGTAGAGACATCACATGGTAAATTTTCATTACTAATTATTCCAGTTACTCCTGGTAGAGTAATTTCCTAGGAACCTGGTTTATCCTAATGACCAAATTAGATTGTTTATCTGATGTACAAGCAAAAAAAAAAAAAAAAACAACTTTCAACTGCTATTTATTAACGAACAAAATTAACATAATGTGTATAAGCCACCTTATTCGTTCAAAGAGACCATTTAAAATTTATATTTCTCAATAGTTGATTAGCTTAATTGTTAAAGTATAGTGCAATTTAAAATAATAAGGCTTAATTTCCTTTAGAATGTCTTGAATTGTAACTAACCGTTTCTTCAGTTGATCTAAATTAGCAATTTTATTTCATCGGTTTTTGCAGTGAAAGTATCAGCTTTTGGAAATAAAATAAACTTACATGGAGCAACACATGTCGTGTTAATATTACCGTGAAACAAACGACGAAGTAGAAGAAATGGGTTCCATTCTGGGCATGCATTTTTCAATTTTAAACACCTTTCTACTGTTTTACTTTCATTCTGGAAACACTGAACATGGTCCCATATTCATCCATT